CAGTACTTCTGAACTGTAATTTATTATTCAAACTTGGCACAAACGCCAATATAACTATTGGTACATTAACCTATGACATGAGCTTTGGCATAGTACGTTGTTAATTTTTAAAAATAAGATGATTTAAGATTTCTAATTTACTAATCTCTTGCTTGTGTTTTAAAAGATATATGTAAAGTTAAGCTTCGTTACAGAGAAGATATAAATAACCAAAGCATGTTGAAGGATTTGTTTGTGAAGAGGAAACATTACATACTCGTGACAAATTGTCAAGTTTTTTGGGTTTTTTTTTATTGTTTCTTAGGGAAAATGCAAGGGAGGATAGCAACGACAATTCTTTTTTCACCGTTCAACAAAGCGAAGTTACTTCTCATATGTCATTAATCTATTTTGATTTGAATAATATCTGTTTAAAAGACATTCAGAAATAGCAGTTAAAAGGAAATTATGGGTAATTTTAATTAATAAATTTGGCTATACATAAAAAACAAAGAATCAAAAAACATTTTCTGTGATTGTTACTGTTTATTGGCAATAATGACATTATCAATTTGACAGTCAAACTACGTGTTGTAATGAAATATGTAAAACTTCTTTTTATCAGATACAGTTTGTTTCTGTTTGTATTTGTATAATTTAAATTAGTAAAATATTGTAATGAAATATGTAAAACTTCTTTTTATCAGATATAGTTTGTTTCTGTTTGTATTTGTATAATTTAAATTAGTAAAATATTGTAATGAAATATGTAAAACTTCTTTTTATCAGATATAGTTTGTTTCTGTTTGTATTTGTATAATTTAAATTAGTAAAATATTGTAATGAAATATAATTATCTCAATGTTATGACGGTTCTTAATGTTATATTTTAAAAAAATTAAATCTTTGATTTGACTATAGTTTTCTGCACCTTTACCATGCGTTCAATATAGTTCTAAATGTAATGTGAACCGGAAGACACCAAATATTAGCGCATTGAAAAAAATAGAATCATAAACTAGCATTAAGAGCGTTCATTTTCCTCCTAACCAGTTAGAAGAATGTCACCATCATGGTAATACAAGTATAATATTTCCATAAAAAAATGTAGCAGACTGTCGCTATATTGGTAAACACAAAGTGAAATTTTGACTTTTATTATACGATGAGCTTTAAATTCTAGACCTATATCAGTTTATTTTAAAATATAAACTTTAATATTTCTTCAATGCTAGTCTAGCATTCTTAAATATATTGGATGGATAAATTACGTGAGAACATGATAATTAGGTTAAAAAAACATTAGTAGCTACGTTTATTTAATAAAAATGACTTAAAGTTACCTTCCTTTTATTTAAACCCAGAGGTCATCAGGCAGTTGATGTAGAGTGAACCAGTTTCAGTAACCCCGGCATTGGCTGTGATAGAAAGGTCAGAATTATGCCAGGTCGGCTTCTCTTTCCCCAATCTGCCTCATGCAATCTTAAGAGCTGTTAAGCGTCAGGTAGGGCATATATCATACTGACCAGAACCGATAAACTATATTACATAGTTTTCTTTTTATTTTTACATTTCATTAAACTGGACGCTACCTTTGAATTTAATAACACACACAATGCTTCCAAATCATGTATGCGTCGTTTTCTGTGAACAGGTAAAACTATGATAAAATGTACCAGACGGTGACGCGGATCTTTGTATGCCTTATATTATGTTCCCTACCTCAAGGTAATTGCGACCGTCGATTATTTACTTTTTTATTCTAATACGTATATATATATATATATATATATATATATATATATATATATATATATATATATATATATATATATATATATATATATAACATTGTTTGTTAAACTAAAATAACGATTGCATAAGAGGTCTTATTATGCAATAGCTATTTGTAATTAATTTGAACAAAACACATATTGTGCCAAGACGATTTTTAGACGTTTGTAATACACATTATCAACCTTTGATTAGTACTGACTTCGTGTAATATTTGTAAATTTTTATTAGAAAAGCCATAACTACCATATCTCTCAATTAAATATGTATGTACTGGAACGATTTATCACCATGAATTTTAATCAAAGAAATATATTAATTGGTAAAAATACAATTTAAAATTGCTGGTAATAGCCTAACCACCTTGCCATTGAACAACACATTTTGTGGGAGTGGGGAGTGAGGGGGTCGGGGTGAAGAAGTTCGTTAATGAACGGTATAGTGGACCTAGGATCAAAAAGTTGTGTGATAGAAATAGAAAACGAAAACGTGTTTTTTTAACAGATATAATTTTGACTCAGTTAACTTTCGATAGCTTCTACGTTACCGTTGAATCCATTTTATATATACCCAATGGGCACCTAAAACTTTAGGAATGGGAGATCTTGTTAAATTATAAACTTATTTAACATATACATTATAAGTTTATACTTTGTCGTTAAACGGGAGTGGGGGTGGTGATCGGGACTGCAAGTAAAGTGGGCCCCGAGAGAGCCAATCTCAGTAGACCGTCCCTGAGTTCACTCAGCTCTGATGTGTACCTAACTCACGTTAGGGTAAGTAAAGGCGACCGGTCACAGTGCTGACCACACTATCCCTTCGTGTGCCGAGGTCACAGAAACAAGTCAACTTTCAGGTTTGCAAGGGAACTTTACTTTTACTTACAAGAGAGCCAGTGAGACAAGCCAAATGTTATCGATTGGATTAGGCTAAACCTCGTGTTAGACTTAGTATTATCGTTATGGTTATGGCTTAATTTATAGCTAGCGCTTAAATTTATTGCAAGTGATAGGGATAATGGTAGGATAAGATATACATATAGATATTAATTGCATTAAAGGTTAAGGCGTGGTATAGTTAACGCCTCACAGTTTTGTAACTTTGTTGAGGGGAGGCAGGACAGTCATGCGATAGTTAGCATCATCTAAATGGACACAGTGTTTCTTCGGGACTTTTTTTCTCGGGGGGGGGGGGGGGGGCACTTGAATTTTTCGGGGCGCGAGGGGGAGGGTGGCGGAGTAAAATTCTCGGGGCGGGGGCGGACACTGTTAAAAGTAAATATTTTCTATCTAAATGCCATTTTTTCGGGGAGGTGGGGGGGGGGGCGGTAGACTACAAAGTAGAATAATTTAATACCGTTCGTTCTATATTAGTCTCTAGCTCGAGCCTCCATCCTTCTATAGTTAGCTTTATCTAAATGGACATAGTGTTTCTTCCAGACTTTTTTTCTCTGGAGGGGCACTTGAAATTTTCGGTTGGTGGGGGAGGGTAGACTACAAAGTAGAATAATTTAATACCGTTCGTTCTATCTTAGTCTCTAGCTCGAGATTTGGGTCACCATCCTGCTATAGTTAGCTTTATCTAAATGGACATAGTGTTTCTTCCAGACTTTTTTTCTCCGGAGCGGCACTTGAAATTTTCGGTTGGTGGGGGGGGGGGGGGGGTAGACGACAAAGTAGTATAATTTAATACCGTTCGTTCTATCTTAGTCTCTAGCTCGAGATTTGGGTCACCATCCTGCTATAGTTAGCTTTATCTAAATGGACATAGTGTTTCTTCCAGACTTTTTTTCTCCGGAGCGGCACTTGAAATTTTCGGTTGGTGGGGGGGGGGGGGGGGGGGTAGACGACAAAGTAGTATAATTTAATACCGTTCGTTCTATCTTAGTCTCTAGCTCGAGATTTGGGTCACCATCCTGCTATAGTTAGCTTTATCTAAATGGACATAGTGTTTCTTCCAGACTTTTTTTCTCCGAAGGGGCACTTGAAATTTTCGGTTGGTGGGGGAGGGTAGACTACAAAGTAGAATAATTTAATACCGTTCGTTCTATCTTAGTCTCTAGCTCGAGATTTGGGTCACCATCCTGCTATAGTTAGCTTTATCTAAATGGACATAGTGTTTCTTCCAGACTTTTTTTCTCCGGAGGGGCACTTGAAATTTTCAGTTGGGGGGGGGGGGGTTAGACTACAAAGTAGAATAATTTAATACCGTTCGTTCTATCTTAGTCTCTAGCTCGAGATTTGGGTCACCATCCTGCTATAGTTAGCTTTATCTAAATGGACATAGTGTTTCTTCCAGACTTTTTTTCTCCGGAGGGGCACTTGAAATTTTCGGTTGGTGGGGGGGGGTGGTAGACGACAAAGTAGTATAATTTAATACCGTTCGTTCTATCTTAGTCTCTAGCTCGAGATTTGGGTCACCATCCTGCTATAGTTAGCTTTATCTAAATGGACATAGTGTTTCTTCCAGACTTTTTTTCTCTGGAGGGGCACTTGAAATTTTCATTTGGGGGGGGGGAGGGTAGACTACAAAGTAGAATAATTAAATACCGTTCGTTCTATCTTAGTCTCTAGCTCGAGCCCCCATCCTTCTATAGTTAGCTTTATCTAAATGGACATAGTGTTTCTTCCAGACTTTTTTTCTCTGGAGGGGCACTTGAAATTTTCATTTGGGGGGGGGGGGGGGGAGGGTAGACTACAAAGTAGAATAATTAAATACCGTTCGTTCTATCTTAGTCTCTAGCTCGAGATTTGGGTCACCATCCTGCTATAGTTAGCTTTATCTAAATGGACATAGTGTTTCTTCCAGACTTTTTTTCTCCGGAGCGGCACTTGAAATTTTCGGTTGGTGGGGGGGGGGGGGGGTAGACGACAAAGTAGAATAATTTAATACCGTTCGTTCTGTCTTCGTCTCTAACTCGAGATTTGGGTCACCATCCTGCTATAGTTAGCTTTATCTAAATGGACATATTGTTTCATCCGGACTTTTTTTCTCTGGAGGGGCACTTGAAATTTTCGGTTGGTGGGGGAGGGTAGACTACAAAGTAGAATAATTTAATACCGTTCGTTCTATCTTAGTCTCTAGCTCGAGCCCCCATCCTTCTATAGTTAGCTTTATCTAAATGGACATAGTGTTTCTTCCAGACTTTTTTTCTCCGGAGGGGCACTTGAAATTTTCGGTTGGTGGGGGAGGGTGGATTACAAAGTAGAATAATTTAATACCGTTCGTTCTATCTTAGTCTCTAGCTCGAGATTTGGGTCACCATCCTGCTATAGTTAGCTTTATCTAAATGGACATAGTGTTTCTTCCAGACTTTTTTTCTCCGGAGCGGCACTTGAAATTTTCGGTTGGTGGGGGGGGGGGGTTTAGACGACAAAGTAGTATAATTTAATACCGTTCGTTCTATCTTAGTCTCTAGCTCGAGATTTGGGTCACCATCCTGCTATAGTTAGCTTTATCTAAATGGACATAGTGTTTCTTCCAGACTTTTTTTCTCCGGAGGGGCACTTGAAATTTTCGGTTGGTGGGGGGGGGGGGGGGGGGTAGACGACAAAGTAGAATAATTTAATACCGTTCGTTCTATCTTAGTCTCTAGCTCGAGATTTGGGTCACCATCCTGCTGTAGTTAGCTTTATCTAAATGGACATAGTGTTTCTTCCAGACTTTTTTTCTCCGGAGCGGCACTTGAAATTTTCGGTTGGTGGGGGGGGGGGGGGGGGGGGGGGGTAGACGACAAAGTAGTATAATTAAATACCGTTCGTTCTATCTTAGTCTCTAGCTCGAGATTTGGGTCACCATCCTGCTATAGTTAGCTTTATCTAAATGGACATAGTGTTTCTTCCAGACTTTTTTTCTCCGGAGGGGCACTTGAAATTTTCGGTTGGTGGGGGGGGGGTAGACTACAAAGTAGAATAATTTAATACCGTTCGTTCTATCTTAGTCTCTAGCTCGAGATTTGGGTCACCATCCTGCTATAGTTAGCTTTATCTAAATGGACATAGTGTTTCTTCCAGACTTTTTTTCTCCGGAGGGCCACTTGAAATTTTCGGTTGGTGGGGGGGGGGGGGTAGACGACAAAGTAGTATAATTTAATACCGTTCGTTCTATCTTAGTCTCTAGCTCGAGATTTGGGTCACCATCCTGCTATAGTTAGCTTTATCTAAATGGACATAGTGTTTCTTCCAGACTTTTTTTCTCCGGAGCGGCACTTGAAATTTTCGGTTGGTGGGGGGGGGGGGTAGACGACAAAGTAGAATAATTTAATACCGTTCGTTCTATCTTAGTCTCTAGCTCGAGATTTGGGTCACCATCCTGCTATAGTTAGCTTTATCTAAATGGACATAGTGTTTCTTCCAGACTTTTTTTCTCCGGAGCGGCACTTGAAATTTTCGGTTGGTGGGGGAGGGTAGACTACAAAGTAGTATAATTTAATACCGTTCGTTCTATCTTAGTCTCTAGCTCGAGATTTGGGTCACCATCCTGCTATAGTTAGCTTTATCTAAATGGACATAGTGTTTCTTCCAGACTTTTTTTCTCTGGAGGGGCACTTGAAATTTGCGATTGGTGGGGGGGGGGGGTAGACTACAAAGTAGTATAATTAAATACCGTTCGTTCTATCTTAGTCTCTAGCTCGAGCCCCCATCCTTCTATAGTTAGCTTTATCTAAATGGGCATAGTGTTTCTTCCAGACTTTTTTTTCTCCGGAGCGGCACTTGAAATTTTCGGTTGGTGGGGGGGGGGGGGGTAGACGACAAAGTAGAATAATTTAATACCGTTCGTTCTATCTTAGTCTCTAGCTCGAGATTTGGGTCACCATCCTGCTATAGTTAGCTTTATCTAAATGGACATAGTGTTTCTTCCAGACTTTTTTTCTCCGGAGCGGCACTTGAAATTTTCGGTTGGTGGGGGGGGGGGGGTAGACTACAAAGTAGTATAATTTAATACCGTTCGTTCTATGTTAGTCTCTAGCTCGAGATTTGGGTCACCATCCTGCTATAGTTAGCTTTATCTAAATGGACATAGTGTTTCTTCCAGACTTTTTTTTTCTCCGGAGGGGCACTTAAAATTTTCGGTTGGTGGGGGGGGGGGGGGGGGGGGGGGGGTAGACGACAAAGTAGTATAATTTAATACCGTTCGTTCTATCTTAGTCTCTAGCTCGAGATTTGGGTCACCATCCTGCTATAGTTAGCTTTATCTAAATGGACATAGTGTTTCTTCCAGACTTTTTTTCTCTGGAGGGGCACTTGAAATTTGCGATTGGTGGGGGGGGGGGGGGGGTAGACTACAAAGTAGTATAATTAAATACCGTTCGTTCTATCTTAGTCTCTAGCTCGAGCCCCCATCCTTCTATAGTTAGCTTTATCTAAATGGGCATAGTGTTTCTTCCAGACTTTTTTTTCTCCGGAGCGGCACTTGAAATTTTCGGTTGGTGGGGGGGGGGGGGGGTAGACTACAAAGTAGAATAATTTAATACCGTTCGTTCTATCTTAGTCTCTAGCTCGAGCCTCCATCCTGCTATAGTTAGCTTTATCTAAATGGACATAGTGTTTCTTCCAGACTTTTTTTCTCTGGAGGGGCACTTGAAATTTTCGGTTGGTGGGGGAGGGTAGACTACAAAGTAGAATAATTTAATACCGTTCGTTCTATCTTAGTGTCCGGCACGTTCTGTGGACCCCCACCAGTTGTTGAAAACAGTGCTTGGATTTTGCCCTGTAAGGGAGACAAGTACGAGGTTTGTCACTTTACCTGTGACTGGGGCTTCAAGTCGAAAGGTAAAACATACACGACTTGTGAAGATGACGGTCTATGGTCAAACCCTGGAGCATGCTCAAGTAAGCTGTTGCTTTTTAAACGTCTCCCTTGTATTAATGTTGATTCTTTTGCTTTTCTTTTAGTGAAATAAGCCATAACAAAGACAATGTGTCTTTTCTATAAATAAATGAGCAACTTTAATAAATCTTATTCCTTATAATATGATCACAGAAGTGTATTCAAATATGTGATCTAGAGGTAGACATCTATACTACTTACTCGAGAGTCTCGAGTTCGAATCCAGGTTAAAAAATCAGGGAACGTCTTTGAGTCCACCCTGCTCTGTTGGGTACCTAACTCACTTTAGGGTACTCAAAGGTGGCAGAGTATAGTGCTGACCACACTATCCCTTCATATGCCGAGGTGACAGAAACAAGTGAACATTACATCACTTGCCCCATAAGCCGTCAGGTTTTAAAGGGAACTTTACTTTACTTTACTCTAATATACTATTAAATATCTAACACTTTACTCAATATACTATTAAATACCTAACACTTTACTCAATATACTATTAAATAACTAACACTTTACTCAATATACTATTAAATACCTAACACTTTACTCAATATACTATTAAATACCTAACACTTTACTCAATATACTATTAAATACCTAACACTGTACTCAATATACTATTAAATACCTAACACTTTACTCAATATACTATTAAATACCTAACACTTTACTCAAGTTCTGCACTGCGGAGAACTCCCCACCGTTTATAATGGAGATTGGAGAAGGAAGTGTGAGAGTACATTTGGAACCATCTGTGATTTCGTCTGCGACCAGGGCTACTATCTCCATGGGGCTGGATACTTCCAGTGCATGTTTGATGGCGTGAATGCGTACTGGGCATCGAAAGGTCAATGCGTAGGTCAGTTTGACACAGAGGTATCGCGAGGCAGGGGCGGTGGGTGCGGGTGACACCATTTAGGGGGGAGGGGTGACACCAAGACGAAAAGTTGTAAAATATTTAAAGAAATGTGCTTTTCGCCAGTTCAGGCAATAAAAGATTATAGTTTAAGTCTTTTAAGTACAAATTGACCATCTCGACAATACATACACATGCACTCACATTATATATATATATATATATATATATATATATATATATATATATATATATATATATATATATATATATATATATGTATATATATATATATATATATATATATATATATATATATATATATATATATATATATATATATATATATATATATATATATATATATATATATATATATGTTAAGGGAGTGGGGGTGTCACCACGAAGAGCCGCACTGGCTGACACCCGACCCAGCTACGCCACTGGTTTGATATGTAAATGTTGTGTTACTGGATACTTAGAGCAAAGTAATTTTCAATTGATACGCTTTTACAGAATAATTATCAACAAACATCTATAAAACTATGAATGCAGTTGTATGTTCAAAGCATTGGTTAAAAAATTTAATAAGCTATTTAAAAAAAATAACCACAATTGTTTTAAATTTTCAAATGCGTCCTTCGAAATAAGGTCAACAGTTTTTTTAGCAATAAAACGGAGAAATGTTTGTTTAAATTGTAGAAAAGAGGTGCAGGAATGCAAATAATGCAAACTATATTGGGTATCGTGTTTTTTACTTAAAATATTTTCAGTCAAAACAGATGCGTACAAAAATGAACACTGTGTCAGAATCGGGATATTTATCCATTTGAAGTACCCTTTAATAATTACCAGAGTTTCTTCCAGGCATCTCTTCACCCCCCCCCCCCCCGCCCCGCCCGAAAGAAATGAAATGTATATAATTTATATAGAAAATATATACTTTTAGAGCGTCCGCCCCCCCCCCTCCGAAAATTTCAAGTGCCCCCCCCCCCCCGGAGAAAAAGAGAAAAAAGTCTGGAAGAAACACTGTTAATTACATACTTCGACAAAGCTGATAAACATACTAGAAAGGCTGGAAAATACTTTTTTTTTTTAATATAGATGCTGTTTTTTTAAACATGTTTTACTGCACTTTGAAGTAGCAATATTTTAACATTATTGAGAACCGTGTTTATTCTTTGTATTTTCAGCACCACAATGGAGTTTACTACCCACAATATTCAGCATAATTTATATTATTATGTGCATCGAGTTAAGTATGTTTATGTTTCGTCGAATCTTAGGATAGATACTTTATAGGTGAGTTATTTTTTTTTAAATAAAGTTACTTTATTTTAACTATAATTTTAGATCAATCGTTTGAGAAATGTATGAAGAATAAGTAAGAATATTGATTTTTTTTTCTGTTATTAAAATATCATTTAATAATTCTAAAAATACTGTATTAAAAATAAATAAAAAATTTAAAGCTAAAACTAGTTCTAAAAAAAGTATCATTGAGTTCATCGAGTGTACTAAAAACTATGTGACCATGCTAAAAATCTACCAATCTATTAACATTTGATTTCCCTATAAGCACGCTTTTATTTGGGTCATTACCCCCAGGTCAATTAAACCCACAACTTCTCCCTCCCCCAACATAACCCCCTGGAGATTTTCCCCTTGTCAATTACCCCTCACCCGTTTTTAATTACCCTCTTCAAGAACCCTGACCCTAAACCTAACCCCAAACTCAAAACCTGTAACTAAAGCTAACCCTAAACCAAACCCATAGCCTAAATCCAACTCTAGATCAATGTCTTACAGTAAACCTAAACTTCAGAAAAAGCCTAAACCTAAACATTCTCCTCAACATAAAACTAAACTCAAACCCAACCCTAGACATTGGTTTAACTCAAGCTCTCGAGCTAAGCCTAACGAAAACCCAAACCCTAGACATTCGTTTAACTCAAGCCCTCTAACTAAGCCTAACGAAAACCCAAACCCTAGACATTGGTTTAACTCAAGCCCTCTAACTAAGCCTAACGAAAACCCAAACCCTAGACATTGGTTTAACTCTAGCCCTCTAACTAAGCCAAACGAAAACCCAAACCCTAGCCCTAACTGTACCTTAACCAATGACTGGAGAGATTAATATCCGACTGGGCGCTGGATAATTGACAGAGGGTAATTGACAGGAGGTAATTACTCCAGGGGTAATGTTGAGGGGAAATGTCCGGGTATATTTGACGGGGTAAGGGAGATAATGCCATGTTCCTTTTTATCTCCTCCACTTTAAAAAATTAAAATGTTTCATGTGTTTATATTATAAATCTCGCAATAACTATTATAAAAAAGCAAATATAATGAAATACCCTAAGCATAACCCTTATGGGGTAAAATAATTATTTTAAATAATATCATTCTTTTGTATTAAATAAGTTCATAATGTACCTTTATTATATACTGTCATATTCAACTACAGAAAATAACATCTTTTGTGTTTATATAATATATACTTGTATATTGGATATTGTCTTTTAATGGAAAAACTTTCCTTTTTCCTAGTAATAAAAAAAAGTTATTTTGAATATGAAAAAAGTGTGCTGTGCACAATTTTTTATTCAATTTTTAACTCGCTGTTTTTTTTTTAAAGAAAACTTTCCTTTATATCATACAATAATAAAGCATAGAGTAAAAATGTTGTATCAATAAATAAAACAAGATAATAAAATTTGTAAAACATTCTTATCGCCTTTGTGTTAGTTCCTACGGTTGAATGTTTTAATAGAGTGTTTGATGGAGTGTAAATTAAATTGCCGCAAATAAACATAATACAGCCCAATCAAACCTCGCCCCTCCCACACAATCTAAAGCCGGTGCTCATTATTATATAACCGCTCGCTAAATTAGGATCACTACCAGGTAATTAACTCTACAAGACGAAACGGCGTAATTTAATGACGTGGCATGATACTCTCAGTAACGCGTACACTTTTCTCTCGTGTAAATGTACGCACTCAATCAGATAAACATAGTAAGTAAACCATGTTTACTAGCTTGGATATATTAACTGAGTAAATCAATACATTCCAAACGTGTAACAGAATACAAAACCTAAATTTTCTAATAGAATATTTTACTAAGCCATAGCGCAATGGTAGCTACAAAATTTACAATTGTATGTGTCTGTGTTTAAAAAAATGTGTATCGATTTTCATTAAGTTTACATTAAATCGCGTATGTGCTGCAATTTGGTTTAACCACATTCCTATAACGGTTAGTGTAACACTATAAAATAGCAGCCCGATGTGGGTTGGAGATTAACTGTTATTAACTGTTATTTTGTTGATTTGTGTAGTGCAAAGGATAAGAGCTCTACTTTGTTGTACATCGAACAGATATTGAAAATAATACCAATACATATTAAAACAAATATTTGACAAAACAAAACCAGTACATATATATATATATATATATATATATATATATATATATATATATATATATATATATATATATATATATATATATATATATATATACTAGCCGTCCCGGCCAGGCCCTGCTCTGGCCTCTGTAAAAAAACTTTCTGTTAGAGACCATTACCTGTGTGTTTAGTAATCATCATAAACCCGGCATTGCCCACCCAAACCACAACTAACCAAAACCAAAACAACAAAACGCAAACATAACGCTAACACAATTACAAAAACAAACGAAAACAAAAACCTAACAACAAACCCAACCACAACCACAAACACCAATACAAATACAAAGAAAAAACAAACAAAAAAGCAAACGAAAACAAAAATCTAACAACAAACCCAACCACAACCACAAACACCGATACGAACACAAAGAAAAAAAAAACGAAAAAGCAAACGAAAACAAACCAAATCCAAACGCAAAACCAACCACAAACACAAACACAAACCTAAAGAAAAAACACAAACGAAAAAGGAAACGAAAACAAACCAAATCCAAACGCAAAACCAACCACAAACACAAATAGAAACACAAACCAAAGGAAAAAACACAAACGAAAACGAAAAAAGAAAGAACAAAAACGAACCAAATCAAAACGCAACCACTAACGAAAACCCAACCTAAACACAAAGAAAACACTAACGCGAACATAAACGCAAAGTGCTCACAGTCTAGCCCGGGGCAGAATCGCCTGTTTCAGCTTAATAAACGACTATAGTACCCCAACTTATTCATAGTCTTTTGTACTCACTTAAACGAACGTAGGTGCCAAACCAAACCAAATGAACAATTATAATACTCCAAGCTTATCCGTAAAATATCTACAACATTTGCACTTAATCAATCCCCGCTAATTATGTAATTATTTTTTTCCGAACACCAAAACAAAGTAATAAAAAGTAAATTCTTTTCCACTAATGCAATGTTTTATAAAGGGAAGTAATTGTGTTTTCCTAATTTATCAAAGTGAAGTAACTGCTAAAAGCCTAAATATAAATAATTTTCAGACATAATTAGAATTTTTGTAAAAGATTATATTTTTTTGAAACTGTGTTTAATGAACATGACGATAATTACTTCTATCAGTTTGAAAAATGAAATTTATTTCCCAACACTTTCAGTATTAATTTTTTTAACTCATAAATTTAGACCGTGAGCACTATAATAATCTAACACTTAAATACATTGAAGTATCCACGACAAACTTATTTTTACATACAAAATTGAGCTTTATATATCGATGGCTTCGGTCACAAACCATCCAACTCCAAAAATGTAAATTTTACAGGGTAAACAAAAAACGTATTATTTCAGTCTCAATCGCTCTAATTAAAAGTTATTTAAATATATCTATATAAGAAGAAACTCTCTACCGACTAGACTGTACCTTTTAAAAATGGGTTTTGTTAATATTTACAAAATTATAGCAGGTTTTTAAAGATAGTCGGTTTTCTCGGCCTAAAACTCTCGCTAACAAACTATCTTTGCGCAATGTTTTGAACCGAGAATTTCAGTCCCAGCCACGTCCGTTCGTTTTGTGCAGGGACCGTGATTTCGTGCATGTTTAAAAGCTATCATTAACACCCTTTTACCGTTTTACATTTTAATGTAAAAAAATGTTCCAAATACTTTATTTTGTCGTTTACAATGTAGGCCAAACAATTTGTAACTACCATATAAAACACGAAGATAAACTCTCAGTCTAAAGCTAGTAATGAAAACAATAATATTTACATTTATTTTAAAAGTTTGTGGAAATTTGATTCGGTAATATTTTAAAACTGATCTCTATATCTAGACTAGATTCTAGAATTTATATCTAGTTTCAAAGCATTGTGTTAGTCTAATAAAAATGTAAAATAAACAGTTAGTTTCTCGAAAATCTAACTGGAAATTGGGTATATTAAACAAATAATATTTTTTATTGTTCTTTAAAATGTTAAAATGTAATAGATTAGATTATCATAATTAATCTAATATCCATACATATAAATGCTTTGATTGATGTGGTGTAAACTTGTGCGATTGCACCGAGCGACTGCGTTGCTAATCAAAAATCGCGATATATTTATATGGCAAGTATGGTCATATGATTATATTTCAATAATCATTCACCAGATTTCTATGATATTTTCGGGCCTTATGGGGAATCAGTTTGGCTTTTGAGTTATGTAAAAAACAGAAAATTGATTTTTTTTGAGAATGCAGGTCTCTAGACCATCGCTATATATATATATATATATATATATATATATATATATATATATATATATATATATATATATATATGTGTGTGTGTGTGTGTGTGTGTGTGTGTATGTTCTATAATCAGAATGTAAAGTTTGAAATAAATCAGCACAACTGCTTCTGAAAACAAAATCAATAAATGAATAACGGACATATTTTAGAAAACATTGTTTTCCCATAAAAAAACATAATATTGAATGTGTTATAAAGCAAAAATTTATAACATTAATGAAATTAAATATATCCGTATTTTTAATATGTTTTTTTAACTTGATCATTCATATTCGTCTTAGTTGCTTTGTACAAATTAGATACGTACTCAGAATAAAATAGGTTTTGTAAAATGTTTATTTTGCAGACTTCAGGCAAAAAAGTAAACCTTAGGTTTCATTAATGAAACAAAAGATTCATCTAATAAAAATCTGATCAATATCGACGGCATTATTCCATTGAAACAGATCGTAACACTGCTCGAGGTGCTGAAAGAAGTACTTCCGTTTTCTATTGACAGTTATCTGAAAAACATTTTTTTTTAAATTAAGATTGTGAAGTGTGAGGGTGTCAGAATCTCAAAGAATGCACAACCTACACGATTGAGGCTAGGTATCACAGTATCCTTTATTTCTCTTCAAACGCGCCACCCAGTCCCACATCAACCTGTTTGCTTTCACTCCAACTTTCAACCGTCCTCCGCATTCATTCCTACACACCACCTTTCTCTCGCTCACAACACAGCCGCTGTCACCCGACCAGTCGCTTCCCTTGTACCATCGTTCATCTGTACAACAACATACACATCAACACACCCGGCCTCGCGTCTCACTACATGATACATACACACACGCAGTGATCCGTTCCACGTATTCACCTTTCATACACATTACATCACCACATGAAGTAAAGACATCTTACTCTTATTTTTGAAATGCCATAGCCATTATGTCAAAGATATACATATTTAAAAAAAAGTAAACAATATATTTATATTCATTTTAAGTAATCCAGTGTATCTTTGTGACGTTTCTCTCATAGATGAAACTTTAAATGTTGGGTGTTGATTAGTAAATATTTTCTTACGTTGGTGTTGTAAGGGGAGCAAAGGGTTTAGGCTCCCGGTCAAAAACCCCCTGGAAAAAAACCCACAGGACAAAACGACCCCCGACATACACCCCCCTGGACATAACCCCCCCCCCCCCCGCGACATAAACCCCCTGGATAATAACCCCCCGCCTGAGGTTTATATAAGAAAATAATAACGACGATGAGAACCAAAAAAAAATGAAATTAAACAAATGTAATTTTTAACGACTAACGATTTTGGTGCCGAGTCAAAACTACAACCAATTTCTATTATGATTGGCCTTGAAATGTCTGGGATAAAAAGTGTTGAAATGGTATTTCCAGAGTGTGAGGTAAAAGGATGCTTTTTCCATCTTAGCCAAAACATATATAGAAAAATACAGGTTTTGATAGCAAATTTGCTCTCAAGCTCAGAATGCTACCTGTGTTGGCTTTTGTGGCCATGGACCCATTAGTTATATCTTTAATAAATTATCGGAAATTTTCTCCCAAGAAGCCATGCCGATTACAGACTGTTTCGAGGACTTCTATATTGGCAGACCACGACGTCGAGGTCGAAGACAACCTGTTTTCACTTGACATGTGGAACATGCACACACAGGCAGAAGACCATATGCCAAAATCAAACAACTCATTTGAAGGCTGGCAACTATAAAGTATTTGCGAGGCATCACTCAAAAATTCTCTTTTTAAAGTTATAACAAAACACTTTTTTCTAATGTTTGTTTTGTTTTTAGTTATTAATTTTGGTTCCCATCATTTTTGGTTTTTCGTTATATAACCTCAATTGTTTTTGTTCAGTGGGTTTATATCGCGGGGGGGGGGGGGGTGTCCAGGGGGTTTATGTCCACGGGTTTTATGACCGGACACCAAGGGTTTCATTCAAACCTTCACACTGGACTCTGATTTGGACAACCCTCTTTATCCGTGCCCCCTCTTTATCCGTGACCATTAGAGCCCAGGGGAAGTGGGAGACAGATACTCTTCTTCTTCTTCGTTCTTAATTTTTAGTGTTGGAAGGGATCAAGCCTTATCTGCCAGAGGGTTTGAATTCGAGACTTTTTTTCAGCCTGCTTTTCTTTTTTGATTTGCTTCCATAGCCTCTGTCCAACCAAGAACAAACTACAAGGCAGCAGTTGTTTGATTTTGGAGTTGTCTCTCCTAGAAGAGTGGCTGTCCCCAGCTAACGAGCCTCATCTGCCCGAGGGTTCGAACTCGAGACTTTTCGGTTTAGCAACCATGAGCTTTACTGACTCGACCTCGCCGACCCCTAAGACAGATACTAATTTAAGTAAATATATTCTTTAATTTATTTTTATCCGGAAAGGATGGGTGGGGGTATAATGGCTGCGGACTTGCTCCGGTGGAGCAGTGTCCCTTCCTTTTTCCCCATGAAGCGATGCCTGCAAAAAAATCTGATTACAAAAGAACACCTCGAGATAAACCACATACTAAAATACCCACTTAAAAAAATGTGTTCATCCTACCAATGGCGTAGCGAGGGGGGGGGGGGGCGTCGGGGGCGGGGGGGGGGACCGCACCGTGTGACACCGTTTAGGGGGGTGACACCAAGGCAAAAAAAAGCAAAATATATAGAGAAAAACTTGAAGGGAGGGGTGCAAATCGAAAGTTTGAGGTGGTGGGGTGCAAATCGAAAAATTTGAAAGTTTGTCCCCGAGAAGGATCGCTGTGCCTCTAAGGGGGTGATACCATTAAGTGCCACACCGGGTGACACCCGACCTCACCACGCCACTGCAGCCTACGGTGTCTTCAAATGTTTTACGGGTTAAGTTAATAGCTGAAAGCAACACATGATACATTACCTCTATATCACGATGACGAATTTCCCAAAGCATGGTAAACTCCAGATCAGGCTCAAACTGGTACCCGGCATAATATATCACATCAACCGTAGGCTTGTCATGGAATTCACGACTCAATGATACCATTTTATTTTTATATGAACCTTCAAAGTTGACACCGTTGAATACATTGTTCAGACATTTCAGACCAAACGATAACCTTAAAAAAATATTCATTTTAGGATGTGAATACTATTTAGAAAGCAGTTATTATATCATTAACGAAAAAGTTAAGTGGATTTTTTTTAAATATATATATATATTTATTCCGGTAAGAGAATGTTTTTTTTTCTCGAAAAGCTCGCTAAGTTTGGAAACCAAGAGACAATTAGGAATTCGGGCTATTAGTTCCAGAATTTCCAGAAGTCATGCTTTAGCTGCAACCCATTTCTTCGTTATTTTCCTATTTCTCGCTCTTTTTTTCTGTCACTGTGTATGATTATACACACACATGCATGAACACACACGGACACACACACACACACACATACACACACACACGAACAGTATATGTGTGATGTGTGTTCACAAAAAACAACGGATCTAACACACACTTACCCTAGGTTGGAATTAGGTACTCCCCGAATCAACATGTTTTGTATTTTTCCGTCCAGCATTAGTATTCTGGTTGAAATGTTCTATATTTTACAACATAATTTTATCATGTGAATTGGAAACATATATATACATACATATATATATATATATATATATATATATATATATATATATATATATATATATATATATATATATATATATATATATATATATATATATATATATATATATATATATATATATATATATATATATATATATAATATATATATATATATATATATATATATATATATATATACATATGTGTATATATATATATATATATATATATATATATATATATATATATATATATATATATATATATATATATATATATATGTTCAAATCAACTAAACTCATCGTATAAACTATTAAAATTATGCTGTGAGATAGTTTTGTCTGAGATATTTTGTCTGATCATTTGTCATGGAACCATATATAGATATATCTTATATATATATGCGGGATACTGTAAGCTTGGTGCGCTAAAATTCTCTAGTTGCGATCCAGGCAATTAAATTGGGACAGCTGCTTTCTTAGAAGATAATTACCCACCATTTTATTTTGATTGATTCATTTCTCTCAATCATACATGGATACATATAAGTAATACTGTAACTGAAGTAGTTATATATATATATATATATATATATATATATATATATATATATATATGTGACGAGCGAACATTTATCCTGCCGACAACGCCAATTGTAACGAGCCAACAGTTACCCTGCTCGCAGCGCCAATTGTGACGAGCGAACATTTACCCTGCTCGCAGCGCCAATTGTGACGAGCGAACATTTATCCTGCCGACAACGCCAATTGTAACGAGCCAACAGTTACCATGCTCGCAACGCCACATGTAATGAGACCTAATTGCCTGTAGTGCCACGTGTTAACGAGTTTAACCACTCATTCTAGACAACATTGACCACAGTATAGATACTCAAGATGCAGGTTCGCTATTGATCCTTTATTACATGAATCAAGAAATGCTTCATAATAACACAATAAATCAACAGGAATGCTTCTCAATAATAGTCTGAATCAACTGACCCCTAACAGTCCTTCACTAGGCTTCATATAACTGAATCCACATGTCTATAATCCTCCTTAACACAATACGGCTAACCCGTTCTATAACCGACTTGACATAGTCACACAGACTGACTGATCTAAGCGAGCGATGAAAGAGGTAAGAGCCTCGAAACGGGAAGAGAGAGAGTTCTGCCGTCCCCTCCTATTTATGCCTTGAAATCGTAGTCGTACTTGTCTCCATTTCCGTAATCGATACTTGTAATCGATGTATCCGAATACTATGTCGCAGTTTCTGACGTACCGTCCGATTCACTAAAACATCTGCATCCCATCCATCAAAGTTGACAGCTCGTCTGAAACTTCTCGTACCGTTTCCCAAAATAGCACGCGTTGGCTTTGAGGTTGTTATCAGACCGATCCAATAAGCCACCTGTTATAGTTGCGTCAGATTTCATACTGCGTCTCGGTTTCTCGTTCGTTATCATTTGTAACTGGTAGTTAGGCCTACCCCAGTTACATCCACCCCTGCTTTTTTTTGTGTGTTTTCAACCACAAACAACGCCTGGCAGGTGCACTCCTCCAAAGTCAATCGCACAGTCGTAAAAAAAAATTTTATTGTTCCACTCACTGTCCACGACGTTCCATTCGTATACGATTGACAGTTATACCTATTTCACATCTCAACTGTGTCCACATCATCTTCCTGAGACACAAAACAGTTCTAGAATTCACATCCACCCTTTCCATTTGGTGCCTTCACCAGTTCACTTCTATAGCTCTTTGAACAGTCTGTTTTCATACCAGCGCGACCATGAAAGAATTGATGGTTGCTGACAAAAAATTTCGTATTCCTTCTGTTCCTTAAACTTCTCCGCGGACCACTTATCTGATGGTCTACTGTCTCTCTGCTTCTGGAGGGACCGGGATCCTCATTGTTGCCGGTATCCTCCACTTGTATATCGCGTTTGTTCTGTTGATGGTGATATGGTTCCGGAATGGGTATGTGAATTTCCGTTATAACTTCCGGTTCCCTAACCGTCTTGGGTTTCTCTGTGTGTAACTGCTCTTCTTGCCTATTCCAATATTTCTTTAATTGAGCAATATTCGCCCACCGATCCGGTTTGGCGTGATCGATGGGTCTTATCTTAAAGGGGCCACCTGCTGCTTTAGGCATCTCCACGACTTGCCATATCTCCTGTCCCCAGAGATCGTGGGTTTTGTTTCTGCCTAACGGGTGGCTACGCAGTAATACCCTGTCATTCAGTTTGAGTGGCGGGTCCTTCGTCTGTATCGGCGGTTCCCTTCGCCGAGATTCATGTTCTAGTCTTTCCTGTACTACCCTGTACATTTCTCTAATTCTTCTCATATGTTCATTCACATATTCCAGTGCGGTGTATGAGCCAGTCATACTCTCCCTTTTTCCTAGGAACAAATCAAGAGGGAGTCGAGCCTCTCGTCCGAACAGCAACATGTATGGCGTAAAGCCGGTTGTGGCATGGGGTGTGCAGTTGTATAGATATACCAACTCTGGGAGAAAATCAGGCCAACGTTTTTTCTGTTCAGGTTCTAGCGTACGCAGCAAATCATGCATGCTGCGGTTGAACCGTTCACACTGTCCGTTTCCCTTCGGATTAAATGTGGTTGTTCTAGATTTGTTGATCCCGTAGTGGCTGCACAGTTGGTTAATTACTTCTGACTCGAAAGCCCTTCCTTGGTCAGAGTGTAATTGTCTTGGTATGCCATATTTGATGAACCAATGTTCTAATAAGACCTTTGCCACTGTTTTGGCAGTCTGATCTCGTGTGGGCACCGCCACAGTCCATTTGGTGAATACATCAGTCATTACCAACACATGTTCCGTCCCATCCGATGATTGCTCCAACGACGTAAAGTCCATAGCCACAATCTCTAGTGGTTTTGTCGCTAGTAGGTGTCCTGGTGGCTGTCTCATTTTGACAACTGGCATTTTCGCATGCTGACACCTCACACAAGCCTCACAATGGCGTTTGACCTCCATTTCCATATTGGGCCAGTAACACCTCCGTCGTAATATTTTGTGCGTCCTGTCCTGACCCTGGTGTCCTGCCCTGTCATGTGCCAACCTTAGCACTTCTTCTCGTAATTGTCCCGGCACCACCACCTGGTGTATTGTGCCATCAATTTGGTCATGAATTCTCCGCATGAGAACACCATCCTTTATACTGAGACGGTTCCACTGACTCAGTATTTTCTTTGTTCCTCGACCAAATTGTTCTCTTTCCCTTCTTCCTGGGAATTTTTGTTCCTGGACGTATTTCAATAGCGGTTGTAAGCCACTATCCGTTCTCTGGGCATCTCTTATCTTTTTGTGATTAAGGCAAATAAAATCACTACTGTCCATATGTTCGGGTTCCGTGGATATGTGCTCCACCCCGGTCTGCCCGTTCTGCATCACTTGTACCCCATGAGGGATATCTGTTGACGCTCTGACCTCACATATTCCTGTCAGCGTTTCTTCCTCATCACCCGGTTTCTCGTAAGGATTCCTTGATAAAGCGTCCGCATTGCCATTGGACCGCCCCGGGCGATATTTTATCTCCAGGTCAAAGAGTGCCAATTCTGCTGCCCATCGCTGTTCGATGGATCCTAGCTTTGCTGTCTTTAGGTGACTCAAGGGGTTATTGTCAGTGTATACCACACATTTAGCACCTAATAGATAGTCCCTGAATTTCTCAGTCACAGCCCATTTTAATGTCAAAAGTTCTAGTTTCATGGCGCTGTAATTTGTCATGTTTCTCTCTGATCCCTTCAGAGCTCGACTGGCATACGCAATAACCCTGAAACCTTGCTTTTGTTGTTGTGATAGCACAGCTCCCAGACCTTTAGAGCTGGCGTCGATTTCTAACCGAAATGGTTTGTCAAAGTCCGCGTAACCCAATATCGGTGCCTCTGTCAAAGCCTTTTTCAAGAGTTTAAACGAGTTCAGGCATTCATCAGTCCATAGTTCACCTATCAGGTGTGTTTTACCTTTCTTTTTCTCCTTACTGTGTTTCTTTGTCATTTTGTTTACCAAGTCATGCAATGGTGCGGCAATTTTTGCAAAACCAGGTACAAATTTTCTATAATAGGAAGCAAAGCCCAAGAATGACCTGACCTCTACCGTAGTTGTTGGTTGTTTCCATTCTTTAACAGCTGCAATTTTATCTGGGTCAGTGGCGATGCCATCCGACGAAATCACGTAACCCAAAAAATGTACCGATTTCAGACCAAAGCAGCATTTGTCTGGGTTCAGCTTTACTCCTATCTCCCTAAGACGGAGAAACACTTGTTCTAACCTTTTTAGATGGTCCTCCCAAGTTTTTGAGTAAACCAGTGTATCATCCAAGTACACCAACATTATTTGAAATAGAAAGTCACTCATAGCACTCTGCATTACTCGCTGGAATGTAGCAGGTGCATTAGTTAGACCAAACGGCATACGGGTCCACTCGTACAGTCCCAGTGGAGAAATAAATGCAGTTTTATGTTGATCGTTGGGGTGCATGGCCACTTGGTGGTAGCCACTGGCCAAATCCAAGGTAGAAAAAAATCTTGCTCCCCCCAACGCATCAAGACATTCATCAATACGAGGCAAGGGGAATGCATCCCTTCTTGTGATATTGTTCAATTTCCGGTAATCACAACACAGTCTTATCTCCCCTGACTTCTTTTTTACCACTACTATCGGTGCCGCATACGGGCTTGTACTAGTTGTAATAATTCCCTTTTCTAGTAGATCATTCAGGTGTGCCTTCACCGCCGAGTAGTGACTCGGTGGTAATCTTCGATAAGGTTGCGCCACCGGCTTGTCTTGTAGTAAGGGTATCTGGTGTTTGATTACTTCCGTGTACCCCAAATCACCCTCATACGAGGCAAATACATCCCTGTATTTATTCAGTAATTCATTTAATTTTGGGTCTTCAGTTTCCGGGAATATATATGATCGGCCACCCTTTTTCTTCACCTCGGCCGTCACATTGACCGACCTAACTGTTACTTCATTACTACTGGTATTGATCAGTTCGATGCACTGTGCCGACCTTTGTACCTCGACGTTCTGTGGTACTCCTACCAGAGTGTTAGGCGGTATAAAAATTTCCTCATCCAAAACATTAGCTACCAACCCTTGAACTAGTCCGTTTTCCGCTGATGTGTATGTCCGCAGTAACACGACGCCTGCCCTCAGTGCGGCGCCACATGGTTCTACCATCACATCACCATTCACGCTTCTATCACCAATTTGTAATGTGATTGCCTTGACCGTGTTTGCCGGGACTGCTGTCCTTCCTCTGGTCTTGGCAAACCTGGCCAACTTGGATCCCCGACCTGGTGTGGTCGATCTGACAATATTTGTAAGAAATTCTGGCAACTGGCCAAGAATATTCATGCCCAACAGGCAAGGTATATTTGACACATTTGTCTCTAGGTTGTGTTTCGTAACGAACACCCCAACCTGCTTCAACCTATGTCCTGCCACCACGACATCCGCCAGAAAATAACCACAGTATGGAATGGTTAGTCCATTAGCTGCCGTCAGGCGCATGCATGTGTCAGACCTCAACCTATGGTCTTTTCCTTTCATCCATTTGGTGTAAAAATTTTCCGTGATTGTCGTCACCTGGGAGCCTGTATCCACAATTGCCTTCACCGCGATGTCCCCAATCGTAATCACCATTTCGGGACAGACTCCCATCATTTTGCTTCTTGGGCCATAACCTCGCCCCTCTGTAGCCTGGCCCTGCCTTACAGAGGACGACCGTTTCCCTGGCAGTACCGTGCCATATGTCCGGGTTGTGAACAAGACAAACAAATTGGTCGACCGTCTGCCGTCCATTGGAGTGATGGCTTGGCAGGACGCGGCCGTCCAACCCGTCCCCGTTTTGTACCGTTCTTTTCCTGATTCTCAGCTGTTGACCTGCTTTCCAACCACTTCAAGCGTTGGTCAACCTTCTCTAGGTGGGCCAACAGTTGAGTCATCATGGTCTCCATCGAACAGTTCGATTGGTCCTCATCCTCGGACCTGCGGATCGCTGAGTTCCTGACCTGAAGGAAGGTCAACTGCTGGTCTCTGTGGACCTCCTCTTTCAACTCTCTCCTTAAGATCGGGGTTGCTAGCCCCTCGATGAAATGGTCCCTCAGTAGGCGTACATCAATGTCCGGTGATTTGCCCTTTACCAAATCAAAGGCCCTGTTCATCCTGTGTGAGTACTCCATCACACTCTCCGCCATTCTCTGCTTTAAGCCCACGAATCCCGATAGCAGTTGCACTCCCGACCGTCTCTCTCCAAAGGTCTCCATAATCAGATCTAGCACCTTATCTGGATCTGATTGGACGGTCCTATCGTGGCACTTAACCTCTGCCCTAACCGTTTCACCTATACTGCCCATCAGCAGTCTTAATCTTTCCTCTGGTGACATATGTCTCGAGGCCCAGGCCGCTTTGACCTCTTCACTGAACCTGTCGGTTAAAGTTGGATCTCCGTCCCCGTAAAATTTGTTAATATGGGACTCTCTGGGTAGGACCACTATATGGGTCTGCTTCTCGTCCAGAGTAGACATTTTCTTCCTTAAGTACTAAAAAAAAAGAGTTCTTTCTTACCGTGTGTGTATGAAAAATTTTTCCTCAATTTTCACAGTTCCTGAATGTCCGAATTCACACACACACTAAACACAGTTATGCACAAGGTTGACTATAGGTGCCTTAAACGGCAAGTCTAGTTGAATTCATCCTGATCGCAGCGCCAATTGTGACGAGCGAACATTTATCCTGCCGACAACGCCAATTGTAACGAGCCAACAGTTACCCTGCTCGCAGCGCCAATTGTGACGAGCGAACATTTACCCTGCTCGCAGCGCCAATTGTGACGAGCGAACATTTATCCTGCCGACAACGCCAATTGTAACGAGCCAACAGTTACCATGCTCGCAACGCCACATGTAATGAGACCTAATTGCCTGTAGTGCCACGTGTTAACGAGTTTAACCACTCATTCTAGACAACATTGACCACAGTATAGATACTCAAGATGCAGGTTCGCTATTGATCCTTTATTACATGAATCAAGAAATGCTTCATAATAACACAATAAATCAACAGGAATGCTTCTCAATAATAGTCTGAATCAACTGACCCCTAACAGTCCTTCACTAGGCTTCATATAACTGAATCCACATGTCTATAATCCTCCTTAACACAATACGGCTAACCCGTTCTATAACCGACTTGACATAGTCACACAGACTGACTGATCTAAGCGAGCGATGAAAGAGGTAAGAGCCTCGAAACGGGAAGAGAGAGAGTTCTGCCGTCCCCTCCTATTTATGCCTTGAAATCGTAGTCGTACTTGTCTCCATTTCCGTAATCGATACTTGTAATCGATGTATCCGAATACTAATGTCGCAGTTTCTGACGTACCGTCCGATTCACTAAAACATCTGCATCCCATCCATCAAAGTTGACAGCTCGTCTGAAACTTCTCGTACCGTTTCCCAAAATAGCACGCGTTGGCTTTGAGGTTGTTATCAGACCGATCCAATAAGCCACCTGTTATAGTTGCGTCAGATTTCATACTGCGTCTCGGTTTCTCGTTCGTTATCATTTGTAACTGGTAGTTAGGCCTACCCCAGTTACATATATATATATATATATATATATATATATATATATATATATATATATATATATACATATATATATATATATATATATATTGAACATGATATCGAGATTTAAGACAATAATTATTATATTTTGATAACAGTATTGTTACTTGCTTACCTTCAAATGTGCCTAAATGGAAAAATTACTTTGTGTTATCACATTTAAATTATATATATATATATATATATATATATATATATATATATATATATATATATATATACATATATACATATATACACATATATATATATATATATATATATATATATATATATATATATATATATATATATATACAAAACATATTTATATATTAATTATAACAAGTTATATTTTATTATTCAATTATATACAATTCCTTTCTGTTCAGCTTTTCTATATTGTGTGGAATATTTTATGTAAAACTTGTGTGCACGTAACCTTGTGTTGCTGAATTCTCAAAAAAAAAAAAAATAAGCGAAACGTTTAACGAGGTTATCTTCGATAATATATAGCTCATAAATAGAGATTTTAGTAAATTTATAAGTTTCATTTTTTTAACTATGTTTAGGCCAATCCACTTGACTTATAGGGAAAAAGCAAGTTTATATATTTACACGGATAATATTTATATCCTAAGTAACGGAGATGTGTGTGTTTTACCACTTACCGAAACAAAGACGGAATTAACCACTATGTCCGGCTTCTTGCGTACAACAATGTACTTCATCAGATCTGTCCTTACAACTTTGGGGAAGTTAAGTACGTGTGTTGAGTTCATCCATATCTTTGTAATGAATGTTTATTTTCTTTACACACACATACACGCACACACACATATATATATATCAATATATATATATATATATATATATATATATATATATATATATATATATATATATATATATATATATATATATATATATATATATTCGGTTATTTATCTATATGTGTATATGTATATGTATATATATATGTATAGTTATATGTATATATATATATATATATATATTAAAACTTTGCAAGCAGGCATATAATAATTACTCCACAAACTTGTGTTGATGTGTTAATATGTTCAAGTGTCTTATACTACATTTAGTCTAGCACTGTTTTAAAAAAAAATCAGATGATAAGAATGAGTACAGCTACACACCTCTACGTGCTGATTGGAGACAAATACAAATTTCAACACGAACGTTGTCTCCGTCCAAAAAAACACATTCGGTTCCCTGTCTATATTGCATGAGAAGGCGCGCGATCCAGCCTCACCGAGAATTTCTGCTTTACAGAGGAATATATTTGGTTTGAGTTGAACCCTCAAACCTAGCGGTATGTGTACGCTGCAGTCCAATTCACTGCAGAACTGAACCGTATACCTGAATGTAAGAAAGAATGGTTATCGTTTGTTTTAAAGAATAGGCCTACATGTTTTGTACCATATATATAACATTGACAGATAAATAAATAAATAAATAATTAATTGTATACATACATACATATATATATATATATATATATATATATATATATATATATATATATATATATATATATATATATATGCATAAAGCTTTATGTAAATGTGTTTATATGTGTTTGCGTGTGTATGTATGTGTCTATGTTTTTATGTATGTATAAATGTGGACAAGTTTACAACTTATTTGTTGTTTAGTTTTGTTTTTTAATTTTTTCACATACATGTCGGTACACTATATTAATAAATACACAATAAGGGCTAAATTATACTAAGGAAATATAGATAAACTTTAAGTATATTGTTTTTTTCATGTCGTTACTCTTGTTACAAAAGAATTAGAGTCGATGTTACCTGTTTGTTAATCATTACTCTGATAACAGATACCCATATTTGAGTATTCTACTTTTACATAGCCATTACTTTTAAATCTACAATAGTTTGGTAATAAACATTCGTAATAATATATCCTCAAATATCAGAAAATCATTAATTTAAAAACAATCCTGAAAATCAGTGCTTTTTATCTTTTGTGGAGCTACCGAACACCACCCGTTTCTTTTGCGGATTTACCAAACCGATCTACCGTTCCGTCGTCCCCAATGCCTAAACCTGTTGGTGGAATATGCGTCGGATGTCTGTCACGACCGAACCTCTGAGATTGACTCATAGAACCACTGCTCAAAATGAAAATTTATTAAGACAATACGCCAAATCATAGTACGCTTTATATATGCTTAAAGTATGCTAATTAAATTTGATTTTATTCTTAAAGTATGCTAATTAAATTTGAATTTTATTATCTAACATTAACATTGTCGGGCCATTCAAATTATATAAGTATCTAGCAATAGATGTGCAATTGTAATAATAATGTGCAATTCAAGTAAACAGAGCATCCTACTTAAAAACAAAATACCAACTATTTCCATAATCAAGCGTTTTGCCTAAATTATCAAGTGTCTATCTGCCTTATTATCTAGCTTGTCTGACTTATCAACTGATTTACCTGGGCAACTCAAACCTAAAAATAAAAGTCACACTTCTAAAAATAACTTAGCGAATGATGCAATTAGCATCTAATTTTAGACAATCCAATCAGAAATTGAGATCGAGCATATAATAATACACCATTATTAACGCTAAAAAATTGCATCAGTGTCACTAAGATATATAAAACGTCAATTTTTTTCTCTCTACATGTTAAAGACAAAAATCCTGTTGAATTGTGTCACTTTAGTGAATGACGCAATCTGCATCATTGTATCAGGATGGCATCAAGGTAAGTTTTAAGGAGCCAGGGGCCGTACGCGGCGTCCCTGCGGTTGTATAATCGGGGGCTCTCTAGAGCGCCCCTTTACGTCCCTGACACATTGGTAGTTACCAAAGTGTATTCTACCGCACTACTGCGGTGAGTGATTAACGTACTATCAAGGTTTTCATGCGGTAGTGTAGGTAAACCCGTGTCCCGATATTTATTATCAAAGCGCAGGCATTGTTGGTCACGCGTCTAAGAACATTGGATTGGTAACACATTGATGAAACCCGCCTGATATTGCGTCAGAATTATATATATATATATATATATATATATATATATATATATATATATATATATATATATATATATATATATATATATACACACATATATATACAATTATATATATATATATATATATATATATATATATATATATATATATATATATATATATATATATATATATATATATATATATATGAGAAGCAAAAAATTAACTTTTTCACCTACCCTAAAGATCCTTCGGGCATCAATCCCTCTATTAAAATCTCTTTGCCAGAGTACATCTCACCTACCTCACTCGTAACTACGTTGTGTTTCTGTTCACATTGTGTTGATGAAAGAGTAAAATATACTACACACGCTTACTATAAACGCATACACATTCTACAAACACTAAAAGTACGTGTATTAAAATATATAGATTTAATACGTATTTATTGGGTTTTTATAAGTTTCGGTGTTATTAGAACGTTATTAGAATATTTATTATTTATAATTTAGAACATCTTAGTGAAAATTATATTTGTGTAATATCAATGATGCTCATGAAAATGATTCTGATAAACTATTTAACAGTTTTAAATTACCTTGTATGAATACTTTAGCATCTTGTATGGGTATACATTTCACAAACTTTATGTTTCATCGTAGTAATATTTTTTTTCAACATTTGAATATTTAAATAATAATTATTATATTTAATTATCTGTAAAAATCTATTATTATAATTTATTCAATATTATTAATTTACAAAACATGTGTGGTTTTTTTAACCAATGATAAACGCTTTTTGTGGTTTTGAATAGTGTGCACTGTTGTTAAAAACCTTTTTAAATGTCTTAGGTTTAAAAAATAAAAAATAAAAAAATGTACCGTTCTAGCAAACAATGGATCTGGTTTCCTGGTGGTTTTGGAAATGAAGCCTTTAGCTGTACTAGTTTCTATAGTTATGCTGCTGTTTTGAGCTGTGTTTGTGTTTGTATTTGAGATCCTGTCGGAAGATTCCACAAACACGTGATTTGCCCAAACAAAAAGTAGCCAAATGTATGACATCTTCATTTTTTTCTGGATTTAAGAGGAATAAACAAACATAGAATACGCAAAAGAATAAGTTAAATATAATTATGAATCTATTATGAAAACATTTACATTAATATGTTACATGCACAACTAGGCAATTTCATTTAGTTAAACTTATTGATGCCTAATGAAAAGTATAGAAACCGAATTTTATTAATGTTTAAGAAATTATGTGAAGTCTGATAAATATTAAAAATAAACTCAACCAAAGTTAATTAGATTCATAATTTTGATAAAACATACCATAATACTTAGAATATAACTTTCATTAAGGGTGAATAGTGTGTGGATTCTAATGAAAATAAAATATTTAATTTATTATAAATTAAAAAATTTCACATTTTATATAAATACCCAATTGCGCGAAAAAAATGTATTTTTTATATATGTAATAAAATATTTGAAACAAATTTTGTGATGCCTCATATAAAAACATTAAATTAATAATTTATCTACACAGAAAATACATTTTTTGTTAACCAAGGGGTCAAATTTAATGCCTTGCCCCGTTGATTACAGTTAACAGCCTACTGCTTATATCTTGCTAGCTCGGGTATTATGTAAGACATTGAAACTCATAGTTTGAAAATGTAACTTTTTTTTTTCAAATTAAGTTACTGATCCATAGTGATCTTCATGTTAAGCGTTTATTTTTATCTACTTGTTTTTGCTCCAATGTTTCTTCCAGACTTTTTTCTCCGAGGGGGGGAGGGGGGAGGGGGGGCACTTAATATTTTCGGGGGGGGGGGGCGGTCAACATTTTACGGGGAGGCGGACAATAGTAAAAGTATATGTTTACTATATAAATTCCATCTCGTTCGGGGGAGCGGTAGACTTTCTTCGGGGGGGGGGGGGGCTACGCTCCCCCGAAGAGATGCCTGGAAGAAACTCTGCTTTGCTCTCACATATTAGAGAGGAACACCCAAAATGTGATAACTCTTCTTGAAGTGTATCTTTAAAACTACAGATGCATTCCGAGTTAGGTTGAGGATACCCCCCCCCCAATCCCCATCCTCACTAGTTAATATATCTCTAGAATAATTGAAGAAAATATAGATAAAGTAATACGATACATTGCTATATCATAAAATCAACCAGGTTTTCTTCGGTAAATGCTCACAGCAAAAAAAAAGACAACTAACCTTCAATCTGTTTGTAAACAAACTGCTTCCAAACTACAAAACTGTTGTCGGTTCTTTGACACGTTTATTTAAAATGGCCGCTGTTAAACCTGCCATGCATTTCCGCTCTCATGACCTAAGAGTTATTTATAGACTTTTTACGAGAGCGGTTACTTGTGGATTATATGCCTGGTTTAACCACATTCTTATCACGGTTACTGTAACACTCTTACAAACAGTTTTATGAGGGTTGGGGCTTAACGACCAAGCACGTAGTTATTAGAATATTTGTAATTGTGTTTATGTTTGTACATGATTGTGTATAGGATTATAGCTAGACTTTGTTGTACAACGAAATACGTGTCTAAAAATTTCGAATACTCAAACACATGTAAGCAAAAATTTAAGGCTACTTTAATTAATAATGTTATCGATTTTACAGTAACATACTACATGAATGCCGTGCTACAGACAACTACCGCTTATTAAGTTTTGATAACATAAAAATTTTTGATTAATTGTCGGTTATTTCCAATACATAATGAAAATTATTCGCAAACAACAATACCTTAAGCGCACATTAAATCTCATATATGACAAAATAAAACCTGTTCGTAACATGAAAAAAACCCACTGGTTACAAAGTCTTTTAAAGCTTATATGCAATAACTAGGCAATTTTAAAAAATAACATTGTCAACATGAGCATGTCTTGAGTTATGTCGCCTAAACAATTTGTCAATAGACAAAATTCACGTTCTGCTGTTTAGACCGTATACCTGCTCTACCCACTTCACATAAAATTATAACTTTCGATTAGATTCAGCTTATACTATGTTTAAATCTATGAGTGTCAAACTTTGTTTCTTCAATATACACATAGGCCTATATAAATATTATTTTTCTACTTATTACTTTTATATTTGCACAATTTTTAAATACAATAATTTGTATAGTTTTACGAAATAGATAAATTATGTATGTATAACTGATATGTATACTATCAAAAACAGTTAGGTATGTGTTATTACTTTCGTGTATTATAGCTATAGTTACTCAAGATTAACCATTGACATTGTGTTCATTTTATTGAATGGTGGCATAAGCAGGAAATCGGCCCGGCATATATTTACGTTTACCATGTATATATATACATACATATTTACATATGCATATATATATATATATATATATATATATATATATATATATATATATATATATGTATATTTATATATATATATATATATATATATATATATATATATATATATATATATATATATATATATATATATATATATGGAATAGAAATTTAACCCCCTTCATACTACCTCAAACGCTTTTGCCACCGCCTACTCCACTGCCTGCGCCACTGTATGCACTACAGCTATAAAGAAGGTGGACAGCAAAGAGCTGCTCAATAAGCAACACATTGTGTAAACGTGAACACTGAGACAAAGCATATAAACAAAAATTACAGCTGCCATTTTTTTACATGACGTGTCAAATAATTAAACCTAAAATTAAAGCGCGTTTGTGGTAGTTTGTAAAGTGAGGTAAGGTCAGAATTGATTACATTACTACCTTCAAAGTTTTACGATCACATTTTTAATGCAAAATTAGTTGAAATTGATATTACAAATTCACTGCAACACAATGTCTATATTTAAAACAAAATATTAATAACAAGCGTGTTCTATTATTATAGTCCTTGCTTAGTAAATTAAACAAATTTTAAATGATTATTAGGTACTGTAAACAAAACAAAAATGTTGCTTCAAATGCTGTTTGCTGGGTTTGTAAATATTTTGCTTGTGGGAGGCTCAGGCCCAAAAGACACAGTCAATGAATTCGTGCAGAGAAAACCTGAAAAGGTAAGATGTATGCTTCATGTATCTTTTAGGCCTTCAGTATCGTTTTTTTTAGATACTGCGAATCAAAAAATAGCGTATTTTTTTTTTTTTATAATAAACTTCACATGTTCAAATGGATAATATAAAAAAGGACATATTTAACGCCAGTAAGTTATAGATGATGAATGATGTTGTCTTATTAAATATTTTTTGTCCAACGTCAAAAACTATTTGAACAGTACCGCATCCCGTACCGAGGTGAGATTCGCTATGGATGGAACCAAGAAGATCTCAGTAAACCAGACCTCAGCAAAGATATTGTAATTGAAGGATCGGTACCATCGTCATCTTTAGGGTAACATTATGCATTGCCTTCTTCAGACATTGGGAATGAATATAAATGTAAATATTACTCGTTGTGTATAATCGGGGATAGAAAACTGACGTGTGATAAGTAAGTGGCATGAGACAAAGGGCATTGTGAAATGGGAAACGGGCACTGCACAAAAGATAATAGTGGATAGTCACATGGCACTGGACCACGGGAAATGAGAAATGGGCATAGATCAATGGTAAATGGACCATAAGTAATGGGAAATAGGTATTAGATAATATGTGAAGTGTAATTCTTAATAAATGTGTAGATATATATATATATATATATATATATATATATATATATATATATATATATATATATATATATATATATATACGAGACAGACTGAGAAAGAATTAATCATCTTTTATTTGTATTAATAATGTTATGCTTGATACCTCGACCTTTTCTAGATTTATTGTTGAGTTGTGCAAAGACAAACATTGCTTATCCGATGTGACGTTTCGTCTCAATATTCGATTGGACCTCAAGAAATATTTCTGTATAACTAAATTACATAACGATAACTACATGGAAGAAACTGTCTGTGCATCGGATCAGCCTTTCCGATTTTTGAACGGAAGACCATTTGTTATTGTTCTATCTTTATTACCACCAATGATCAAGGTAGGTAATTATTTTTTATTGTAAATTTGACATGTTATTACGCAATGTATAAACAATAAGAAAAAATTGTCATTTTTATATAACTACGAGCCGACCCGCGGCATATCATACGCCGCTATTTAGTAGTTTTTTTTTCTACTTTTCAGTAATTTATAATTTGTGAATTCGACAGTACCAATGCTGCCACTGAAAATATCTGCTTTAAAACACTATCAGTAGGTCGTTAAGGACGATACTACCCCCACCCTCCTTTCCCCCAACCCCTACCCTACACCCCCTTCCCCGTGAAAGCAGCCTCCACTTAGTTACCTCCCCTAAGTTTAAAATCGTTTCAAACTATATTATCTGCCCCTAATAGCCGTCACTAAACCCGGCTCTAAGATTAATGTAAACAGCGTGAACCACAGCTCACCAGACCATGTAGGGTTGTGGGTGGTAGGGAGCGCGCTTACAGCTTGTTTTCTAGCGTCTCCAAGAAGAGAATTATATATATTTAGATATTTATACATGTATTAATATAAAAACAAATGTAGCATTGTTACATTTGGAAAACAATAGATTTAAACATTTATTTTAAATTGTATTATATTATGTTCTAATATTAATGTTCAGGTAGGCAGTAATGTGTGACACTTTTTAAAACATTCTCAAGGTCCATGTCAATCATGCATATGTATTCAACGTTTCATCCGCAAGAAAAGATTTTATGAATTTTATCTCAATCCGTGGACAAGTGAAGATTGATTGGATCCTTTTTTCCGTTTGTATCAAAATTAGATTTAATAAAGCATTTAAATCAAGAAATATAAATAATTAACATATTTTTTAAATATGTTATCGTAAAAAGTACAAAATGATTTAATAAAAATCAGTTACAATACATAGCCATAATATTTTTTACTCTGTTGACATTTTTTCTAAAACTCAAACATATCATTCTATTCAGGTGTTAAATCCAGTAAGTATAGATGCACGTATAATTGATGCAATATATTTTAAAAGGTTGTCTTATTTGTGAGTCTGCATTTTCGAGAGCTTTGTGCCTATAATTGTGGGGGTATATTTACTTGTGGTATTTCGAATGTAAATTACACACGCATATATATATATATATATATATATATATATATATATATATATATATATATATATATATATATATATATATAACTGATTTATCTGTCTCGCTTACAAGACGAAGGGTTTAGCAGTTCCAAATACAAAATATGGAGATAAATTTATTTTTCATTTTACCTCATCTAAGGATATGTGAGTGATAATTTTATAAAATGTATTTATCCAAAATATATTTTATATCAGACAATATTTAACATATATGTATATATATATATATATATATATATATATATATATATATATATATATATATATATATATATATATATATATATATATATATATATCGGTTTTATCTTGATACATTGTGTGATCGTGGAATTGCTCTTTATTTTAAAGGTTTTATCTGAATTTCCTGTGTAAAAGTGGTGTTGCTTTCCACTTTGATATCATATACAATTACGGAGTGTATAAAAACGTTGTCAGTGTCCACGCTAAAAAAACAGGTGGCTGGAAAACCAATTTATTCAGTGACGACTTTCCTTTCGGAAAAAATAGTGAGGATATTATGGTTTGGACCATCCAACCACCGGATATCGAGGTGATTTATTAAATATTTTGTAAGCTACGAATAATGTATTATTATATTCCCGTTTAAATTATCCTGAACACAGATTTAGAATACATATATAAACTTTTAAAACTATTGATGATAATAATATGCTTTCTACTTGTAGTTTCTTATATGCGAATTATAGGTTAATAATCTAAATCGCGATTTTAACAAATCCAGACGTTTTACACCTACCTGTACATGATTAAGATTTCATTTAGTTTGGCAAAACCTCTTTATTAGTATGATATTAAATTTATAAATCTGTTTCAAATTCCGAAAGATTTTCTGAAAACAGAAAACTACATTTTTTAGTTCGTTTACGATTGTATTTGACATTTAAAATTTTTTGTTGCCACCATTTCTTGGTAATTAAAATAGCAAATCTCGACGTTTTACATAGTTTTGCAATCTTGTCCTTATACATGTGTGTGTATGTGTGTGTGTGTGTAAACAGGATAACTTAATTACCGTTACAGCCAGGTTGATGAAATTTCAAATATAAGTGTTATATCTAATTTGTTGATCCGTATCAACTGTTCAGCGATTTCCGATAAAAGGAAGTTGGAGTTTTTCTTTTTTCAATTTTTCAAAAGCCTTTAACTTGAGTAATATTTCAGATAGATAAATGAAAGTTTTCACCTAGGTAAAATATATAATTTCCTGCCTTCTGTAAAATTTTTAGTAATTTCCTTTGACCGAAAGTAGTAATTTACCCATTTTCCAATTTCTCAAAAAAAAACACATGTGAATTTTTAAAGTACAAATAATGTTCCGCACTACTATACATATTTTGTTTGGCATTCGCATGGTGAGCAATTTTTTTTTCTACGCGATTCTATCTATTTCTAACAGTTTAAGTAATTAAAAGTGGATTAACAATAATCTCTATATCCCGATAACAACCCCCCGTAGTGTCATATAAGAACATCCGAGAAAATTTTCGGGGAGAAAACTCCCGGTTTATTATTCGTCATGATCTTTCTAAACCAAAAGTGTGATATGTTCGTTTATTTTCAGAGTATTATAAAGAGATCCATCCACGATTTCTAATAAAAATTCTAAAACTAAAATTCATTTCTGAGCAAATAAACCCTGAGTTGGATTCATAAAATTTTAAAAAATAATTTAATTATATGTGATATATTTGTAGAATAAAATCTAGTTTGCTTTATAATATAATATTGTATGCATCTGATTTTCAGATAAAAGTGAATAATGATGTGGAATATTTTATAGAAAGCCGTGAAAACTGTTACGATAAATTGTACTGGAACGGCACTGGCAACATAATTTCCATTTTTATGACTTAGATTGTAGAAACCTGAATGCACACAATTTGCAAATGCTTATCAAACTAAATTTTATGACACTATGATTTAGCTTAATGTGACCTAAAAATAAAAATAAAATATACACTATTGATAAATATTTAAATTATAAGCAATTGACTAAAGTATTGAATTAAGGAAAAAGGAGACATTTTAAACTCTTAATGTAATGTTATGTATTTCAGATTTGGATTTTTTAATCTTCGACTTTATTACTATTATGTTTATTTTTCTAATCCTTTTGTTTCGTCTATCTTACTCTTTACGTCAATGGTAATAGATTTCCGACTTTGGTGATGTGGGTTTTTAAAAGTTTATTGTTTTACAATGCATTAAATAAAATTATTCACATGCGAATTTTATAGTCTATCTTCATCTCTGTATATTAAAGTACATATATATATATATGTACTTTATATATATATGTACTATATATATATATATATATATATATATATATATATATATATATATATATATATAGAGAGAGAGAGAGAGAGAGAGAGAGAGAGAGAGAGATGTGTGTGTGTGTGTGTGTGTATTATAGTTATACACTTTTTTTTGGTAAGATATGAAGTACGAAAACTGTTACAAATTTAACTTACAAATCTGTACTTTTACACTAATACAATTTATTGACTATTTAAGTGTATTGATGTAACATTTCAATACTACTTTAATTGGTTTTATATATGTTGCTGCTAATTGTATCATTTGTTATACTTTTGTTGTCCATTTCATAACATTTACATAGTTCCCGAGATCTTGGTCGTGTGAATTTGTATTATAAATAATGTGATGGCATTTTCTCTTTGTATGTGAATAAAAATATTACTGGAATATAGTTTAAATACGTCTGCAATCTTTCACTATGAAAAATTAATAATTTCACTGAATTTTTTTAATTAGATGTTTAAGTTTAAAATATTCTGTTAAGTCTAATATTTAATATTTAGAAATAAAAGGAGAAAGGAAACGTTGCCTGAGTTACGGTCACTTATAAAAATACAAGCCACCTTAATTAAGATCTAAACAATGTAACTGTGTATACACATTCCTACCCAAATGTCCATTCAATCAGAAACTTAAAATTACCACGAAAATACAGTAAAACAAATGACTGGCAACGCTATATACGGTAATAAACTGTTACTCACGAAAAAGCCCACAAATGTATTTGATTTAATTAACTGAGAAAGTAAAATTTATATTTTTTTTTACAAATAAGCTATTTTATTTTCAAAAACTTTTAAATAACGTCTCAACGTTAAATATTCTCAGGGTCAACAATACGGTAAAAAAAACAATTAAAAAATCAAAACAAAAAACAAACATGCGTTTTGCTAATTCATTTTTTTCTAATTTTAGCAACACTTAAATAAAAAGATAATAATTTTTTCAAACAATTAGAAAATGTGATCTTAAAAATAACATAGCATGTAATGGTTTAATTGTGTAGTCTTTGAATATCGTTTTTACATCAAAGCGTTTTGTGTATATATATATATATATATATATATATATATATATATATATATATATATATATATATATATATATATATATATATAGTTACATATATATGTGTGTATTGTTGTCAGTTTAAAAAAATGTGTAACTGATGAGGATAGATAACTTGGTTGAACCACATTCTTATCACTGTTACTTTAACACTTTTACAAATAGCCTGATGTGGCTGGGGATTAACGACCAAGCAGGTTGTTATTAGAATAACTGTAAGGTTATCGATTTTACACAAACATACCACAGGAATACCATGGTGCGGGCAGCTACCTTTTAATAAGTTTTGCAAAAAAAAAATCGATTAATCTTCCGTTATTTCACAGCATTATTGAAAATTATTCGCACACAGTAACACATTTAAGCGAACATTAAAAAAAACATATATTTAAAAAAAAAACATGTCCGTAACACGAAACGAAACACTGATTACACATTAAAACTTACAATTTTATGACTAGGCAATTTTAAAATAATAACATTGTCAACATGAGTCAGTGTTTAATTAAGTCGCCTAAAGAACTTGCCGATAGTCGAAATTCACGCTGTGCTGTCTAGACCGTGTACTTGCCAGTGGCGGAACTACCATGCCGCCAGACCCCTAAATGGGGGGGGGGGGCATGACCTTTAGGTTGCGTAGAAAATATTTTAAAATCTAAAAGATCTGTTCACACACACAGGAAGCCTGTATCCACCATAACAAGACAGGCCCTCACAGGAGGAGGAGAGGCAGACCAAGATAGACATGGAGACGTGACCTGGAAGAAGACACCAAAAAGATTGGATACACCTGGGGACAGTTGAAGAGACTAGCCCAGGACAGAGACGTCTTGAAAGCTCTTGTCAGCGACCTATGTCCCAGTAGGGACGACAGGCAAACCTAAAAAAAAAACTAAAAAAGAGCTGTAGTTTGAAAGATAGGCAAACGTCCACACTGCTTCTATGACTTACTGCCCTTCTATAAAATAGGCGTACCCATAAAGCTCATTAAAATAGTTTTTACTATATAAATTAAAAATCAATTATTTCTCTCATTTATTATTTAAATAAGACATACTAAAGAATCGTATAGCTACAAAAATTAATTTATTTACATAAATACAAAAATAAAAAAGTCACATAACTCGAAAAATAAAGTTTACGAATTTATATAACTGTGACACCATATTCACGTGTTGTGAATGTACAAATGTATATATATATATATATATATATATATATATATATATATATATATATATATATATATATATATATATATATTCGTAATCTATGGAGAAAGCGTTTTAATCCCCCTCATAATACCTCCAAGGCTTACGCCAATGTCTACGCCACTGCCTACGCAACTGTACGAATAAGTAATATCCAGGCAAATATCTACCACAAAAAAAACAAAAAAAACAAAGAACGTGGCGAGCAACGAACTGCTCAACGAGCAACACATTGTGTAAACGTGGACGCTCAGGCAAAACATATAAAAAAACAGCGGCCATTTTGAATAGACGTTTCAAAAATTAAAACAACATTTACAGCGCGTGATAGTCTGTGAAGGAGTTAAGGTAAGAATTGATTACATTAATACCTTCAAAGTTTAAACGATCACATTGTGTGCATGCAAAAATAGATTAAATTAGTACTACAATTTCGATGCATCACTGTTTCTTTGTATGAAACAAAATATTAATCACAGGTATGTTCTATTATTATATTCCTTGCTTACTAAATTAAACAAATTTCAAATGATTACTAGGTACTGTAAACAAAAACAACATACAATATGTTGCTTCAAATGCTGTTTGCTGGGTTTGTAAATATTTTGCTTGTGGGAGGCTCAGGCCCAAAAGACAATGTCACTAATGAATCCGTGCAGAAAAAACCTGAAAAGGTAAGGAGTATGTTTTTTATGTATCTTTTAGGCCTTCAGTATCTATTTCGTTTTAAGATACTGCGAATTAAAAAATAGCGTAAATATTTTTTTATTATTAACTTTGCATGTTCAAATGGGTAATATAAAAAAAAAATCACGTGTAACGTCAGTACGTTATAGATGATGAATTCTTGTGACAAATTATAATTTTGTTTATCCTGCGTCAAAATCTATTTGCACAGTATCGTATCCCGTACCGAGGTGAGATTCGCTATGGATGGAACCAAGAAGATCTCAGTAAACCAGACCTCAGCAAATATATCAGAATTGAAGGATCGGTACCATCGTCATCTTTGGGGTAAAATTATGCATTGCCTTCTTCAGACATTGGAAATGTCTAAAAATATAAATATTACTCGTATGAAATCGAGGATAGGACAAGGGCAAAAGGTGATAAGTAAGGGACAACAGATATGGGGCATTGTGGAATGGGAAACGGGCACTGCATAATGGACAATAGTTGATGGTCACATGGCATAGGACCACGGGAAAGAAGAAATGGGCATTGTCTACTGTCAACAGGAAACGCTTAATAGGAATTGGGCATAGGTCAAAGGTTAATTGACCATAGTAACGGGAAATGGGTATTAGATAATAGGTGCAGAATATATATATATATATATATATATATATATATATATATATATATATATATATATATATATATATATATATATCCCAGATGATTATCTCTGTCTCTGTATATACATATATTCATATACTAGCTAGAAAGACTGAAACAGAATTAATCACCTTTTATTTATATTAATGTTATGCTTGATACCTTGATCTTTACTAGATTTATTGTTGATTTGTGCAAAGACAAAAAGTGCGTCTCCGATGTGACGTTTCGTCTCAATATTCGATTGGACCTCAAGAAATATTTCTGTATAACTAAATTACATAACGATACCTACATGGAAGAAACTGTCTGTGCATCGGATCAGCCTTTCCGATTTTCGAACGGAAGACCATTTGTTATTGTTCTATCTTTATTACCACCAATGATTAAGGTAGGTAATTAATTTTTATCAGTAAATTTTACATGCATTTAAACATTTTATAAACAATAAGAAAAGCAATCATATTTATATAACTATTTATAATTTATTAATAAAAAAACAAACATCGCGTTGTTACATTTGGAAAACAATACAATTAAATATTTAAATAGTATAATTTATTATATTAATTTTTTTAATACTAATGTTCGAGTAAGCAGTAATATGTGACACTTTTTACCAACGTTCTCAAGGTTCATGTCAATGATGCATATCTATTAAATATTTCATCCGCGATAAAAGATTTTATGAACTTTATCTCAATCCGTGGACAAGTGAAGATTGAATGGATCCTTTTTTCCGTATGTATAAAAATTAGATTTAATGAAGCATTTTAATAGAGATATTTAAATAATTAACATATCTTTTAACATTTTTGAGGCAAAAAGTACAAAATGATTTCATTAAAGTAAGTTAATATTAATGGCCATGATATGTTTTACTCTGTTGACATATTTTCTAAAACTCAAATTAATCATTCTATTCAGGTGTTTAATCCAGTAAGTATAGATGCAAGTATAATTGATACTCTATATTTTAAAGGTTGTCTTATTTGTGTATCTGCATTTTCGAATGCTTTGTGCTACTAGTTGTGACAGAATATTAACTTGAGGTTTTTAGAATGTAAATTACACAGCATATATATATATATATATATATATATATATATATATATATATATATATATATATATATATATATATATATATATATATATATATATATATATATATATATATATATATATATATATATATATATATATATTGAAATATCATTTATGTGTCTCGCTTATAAGACGAATGGATTGACTGTTCCAAATACAAAATATGGAGATAAATTTATTTTTAATTTTACTTCATCTAAGGACAGGTGAGTGATAATTTGAAATAAATGTATTTCTCAAAATTATTTTTTTTATTAAAAAAATATTTTTAATACACACACACACACACACACATATATATATATATATATATATATATATATATATATATATATATATATATATATATATATATATATATATATATATATATTGGTTGTATCTTGATTCACTGTGTGTAAAGGTTTTATCTGGTTTTAATGAGTAAAAGTGGTGCTGCTGCTCTCAGCTTTAATATCCTATACAAATATGGAGGGTATAACAACGCAGTCAGTATATTCTACAATCAAACAAATGACTGGAAAAACAAAATGTACACTGAAGACTTTCCTTTCGGAAAAAAGAATGAAGATACTATGGTATGGACCGTCTTACCAACGGATGTCAAGGTGATTTATTATATATATCGGCAGCTACGACTAATGTATTATTAAGTACTCGTTTATTTATTTATTGTATACGTTGGTAAACACAAACTTATGTATATATATATATATATATATATATATATATATATATATATATATATATATATATATATATATATATATAATCTTTTAAACTATTGATGCTAATTATTTGTTTTATACTTGTAGTTTCATATACACGAATTATTAGTTAAGTAGTACTTTGGTACAAATAATCTAAATCGCGATTTTAACAAATCCAGACGTTTTACAAAACCTTTTGGCAAGGTTATAAGTATGATATTAAAGTTATAAATCTGTTTCAAATTCCGAACAATTTAATGGAAACAGAAGAACTACATTTTCTAATTTGTTTACAATAAAATTTGAGTTTTTTTTTTTTTTTTTAATTTATTGTTGCCACCATTTATTGGCAATTAAATAAAAATAGCACACGTTATTTGTGCTTTCTAATATATTCAGTACATGGGTAGCATTTTCATTTTATCTTTTTATTCTTTATTGTCTTTCTAAACCATAAGTGTCCTGTTGTTTTTTTAGAGTATTTGAAAGAGATCTAATCACGATTTCTAATTTAAATTCTAAAACTGAAATTCATTTTCTAAGAATCATTATTATAAACTCTAAAAATAAAATGTCTGAGCAAATGAGCCCTGAAATTGACTCATAAATCTTAAAGAATCGTTTAATTATATTTTATATATTTGTAGAGTAAAAACTAGTTTGCTTTTTAATATAATAATGTAATAATGTAATGTAATGGTTTTTCAGATAAGAGTGAATGAAGAAAGAGACTATTTGATAGAAAGCTATGAAAAATTGTACGATAAATTGGTGTGGAGCGGCACTGGCAAATTAATTTCTATTTTTATGACTTAGATTGTAAAAATATGAATGCACAAACTAAATTAAATGACACTATGATTTTACTCTATGTTACTAACAAAAATCAAATATACACTATTGATGAATATTTAAAACTAAAGCATTTAAATAAAGTATTGAATTGAAAAAAAAAATTCGACAGAAATTTTAAAATCTTGCATTTATAGTTATATATTGCAGATTTGGAATTGTTTATGTTCATTTATATAACCATTATGTTTATTTTTCTTAGCTCTATGTTTCGTTTATCTTACTCTTTACGTCGATGGTAGTAGCTCTATGACTTTGGCGATGTTGGTTTTTTAAGTTTTTTTTTTAAATTCATTAAATACAAATATGCACATACGATTTGTACAACCTATCGTTATCTCTTTATGTTACAGTATATTTAAATATATATAAATATATATATATATGGATATATATATATATATATATATATATATATATATATATATATATATATATATATATATATATATATATATATATATATATGTGTGTGTGTGTGTGTGTGTGTGTGTAGAATAGATATACGTTTGTTGTATTATATGAAGTACAAAAACTGATACAAACTTAACTTACACATCTGTACTGTTACACTAAAACAATTTATCGACTATTTTAAGTGTATTGATGTAACATGTGCTATTTCAATACTACTTTAATTGGTTTATATATATGTGGCATTACTCATGTAATCGGACATTGCTACTAATTGTATCATTTGCTATACTTTTGTTGTCCATTTCAAACCATTTGCTTGGTTCCAGGTTTCAGGCGTGTAAATTTGCATTATAAACTTTGTGATGGCATTTTCTCTTTGTGTGTGAATAAAATTATTATTGGCATGTTGTTTAAATATGTCTGCATACTTTCACTTTGAAAAATTAATAATTTTCCTGAATTTCTTTTGTTAGATATTTAAGTTTAAAATATTCTGTTAAGTCTAATATTTAAAAATATATTTAGAAATAAAAGGAGAAAACATGTTGTCAGAGTCACTTATAAAAATACAAGCCAACTTACTGGAGGTCTAAACATTCTAACTGTGTATACACATTCCTACCCAATAGTCCATTCAATAAGTAACTAAAAATGAACCACGAAAATACAGCAAAATACTGACTAGTATTGCTGTATACGGTAATAAACTGTTACTCGCAGACCTAAGCTACACAAATGTAATTGATTTAAATAATTTAAAATATTATATTTTTTCGAATAAGCAATTTTAATTTCAAAACAATTAAATACCATCTAAAAGTTAAACAATATCAGAGTTAACTCAATGAAAAACAAAGTGCGTTTCGCTTATTCATTCTGAAACATTTTAGTAACACTAAAATAAGAAGATAGTTAGGGTATTCTTTGAAACCATTAGTCAGTGATTATGAAAATAATAATTGTTTACTTGTTTAGTCTTTACAAATCATTTTTCCATAATTGCGTTTTGTACTTTAAAAATGTTTTATGGTTATATATATATATATATATATATATATATATATATATATATATATATATATATATATATATATATTTATATATATATATATATATATATATATATATATATATATATATATATATATATATATATATATATATATATATATATATATTAGCGTACCCGTCCCCACGCGTTGCCGCGAAGGTCTCTCAGGAACCCCCCCCCCCCCCCCCCCGTTTACACTACCGCATAAATACATAATCTTTCGACCCAGAACAGGCCATAACAGACTAAATCAACACATGCATAAAAAACTAAAAATTGGGTGTGGCCTAATATGCCCTTGTGGCAAGGCCCCGGAGAATACGGAGCACGTCCTTCAGGAATGTTCTTTATATAGCCAGGCGCGAGTCAGACACTGGCCCCTGCTCACCCCACTCAGGGAAAAATTATATGGGGCACCTGCTGATCTGGAGACCCCAGTCCGGTTCATTCACGAAGTTGGGCTGGTTGTCTAAATCCTCCACCTTATTTTCAATTAAGAACAAAGAAGAAGAACTACCGCATAGGCGCCGCGTACGGCCCCTGGTTCCTTAAAACTAACAGGCGCCATCGTGCCAAATAGCATCCTGTTAACAATGATGCAGATTGCATCATTCGCTAAAGTGACACAAGTAAACAGTTTTTTTTTCTTTAACACGTTAAAAATGTTTTGACGTCTTTTAAACATCATTGTAACTGATGCAATATGTTAGCGTTACTAATGGTCTATTATTGGATGTTCGACCTCAATTTCTAATTGAATTGTCTAAAAATAGA